GGTAAGCATGATACCATTTACTTCAATGCCAATAGTATCGAAGAGTATGAAATTGCCATAAAATTTGGTATCAAACTGATAATTTGTGAGAATTGTACATTAGAATTAATTGAAACATGTTTCTTTATTTGCAATTCATTGAACATTTTTCAGGGGCCTAATTGATGATGTTTACTATGGATGGAAATGGTCTTTACTGAACTGGTGAGATCTTACTTCACTCACTCTTAATAATTGACTAACTATTTATAAAACACAGATTACCTGCGAATGTCAAGCTCGAACGTATGTTCAGTATAATGAGAAGCCTGCATATTTTCTAGATAATAAAACAACATCCTACATCACCGAAAGATGGAAAACAGAGGGGTCGAAGCCATGCCAATCAATGACTCCACGAGCAACATGCACCAAGCAGTGCCAGTTATGCAAGAGCGTGTGCAAGGTGATAGTGTTATTGGAGTTGGTTTGTATTTACGTTAATATTATGGTAAATAACTGCAACTACAAGGTCACGAAATCAATAAAGACTGTAACATGGGTGGTGGAGTGGGGCATACAGAAACGCGTGGTGAACATTTCTGTAAGTTGTAGTAGGAGGTATATAAAGTGATAAATTCAATTGCTGATGTAGGACAAAGTAACCCTCTTTAATTACTATAATAATACTCATTACAAATTTAGTAAAATTCTATCAATTTGAATATCTATTTTTTATCTTGAAAATACTCTTGAAACATTACATAACACTATATTATTTGTTTTATATCACAGCCACTGATCACAAGACCATTGCCCATCGTTTTACGTGGCTGATTTTGTCATCAACACGACCGGCCTGCTGATACTTTCCTAAAAGCCATCAGGATGCGTACAAAGTTAAAATAATACTGCTCAAAGTGTCGCGATTGTGGAGAAATGCGGTCTGTTTAAAAAATATCGATTAAACTAGTAACAGGTCGGTAAAAAATTGCTAACGCTTGAACCTTTCGATATTATACTTGAATTAATGCTAATGTGTTTTCATCTGTCATATTTACGTCCAATATATTATTCAAGCACTGACGATCTAATCCACAATAATTGTACCTGTGCCCATCGTTGGTACTGGTATATGCTAACTGAACTGGCTTACTGAATTTTAGGTTTGGCAGTGTTCGCCATACTTCAGGCGTGTTGCCATTTGTGATGGACTTCAATGTGGGACGCTACCTGGCAGTGCGGGACCCCAGGGTGCACCTCTACATTCGCTGCTACCAATTAACTTCTGCCTGCCCCCAAGAAGAATAGACTGTGTTGTTTGAGCTGGAGTGGGCAACGATGCCAGGGGAGACTGGCGGCATGGCATAAACCTGGCACACATGGAACTTTCATAGATTATCCCATCTCGATGGAGCCACTTAGTAAGCCGGATTGTATGGAACCGTGAAGGTGTAAGCTAATCTGTATGGTGTGTATTCTGTTTCATATGTCGATTCAAATTCATTCGATGCGTAGTAGATACGAATCATTTCGATTTGCCGTGAATCGAATGATTCGATGCATCATTCGATTCCGGATCGAATCATTCCGATTCACGCATCGATCATTCGATGCATCATTCGATGCATCATGTCATCACGTGAATCGGAATGATTCGAAATGACAAGTGAATCGCAAATGATTCGATGCGTGAATCGATATGATGCATCGAATCTTTCGTTCACCGCATCGAATCATATCGTATTCGCGCATCGAATGAATGCTCGAATCATTCGATGCGTGAATCGTAATCATATCGACTGCGTGAATCAAATTGAGTTCGATGCTGGGGAATCAAATGAGTCAGAATTGCGTTTGAATCGAAATGACTGCATCGACATCATTCGATTCGCCGCATCGAAGTCATATCGATTCACGCCATCGAATCATTCGCATTACACTGTGTTCATCGAATCATTCGATTCACGCATCGAATCATTCGATTCACGCATGCGAATCATTCGATCGCATCATTCCGATGCGTGAATCGAATGATTCGATGCTGCGAATCGAATGATTCGATTGCATCATTCGATTCACGCATCGATCATCATCGATTCACGCTCGAATCATTTGATATCACGCATCGCAATCTTCGATTCACCGCCATCGAATGATACGATGATCATTCGATTGCCTGTGTTGAATTGCGAATATTCGATGCTGTGCAAAATTCGCAATCATTCGATGCCGGTAGATGCGAAATCAATTTGCGGTGCCGTGGAATCGAATCATCTCGATCGATCAATTCGATTCACGCATTCGAATGATTCCGAATTCACGCATCGAATCATTTTTGATCTCACGCCATCGAATTCATCGATTGCTGGTTGAACTCGACATGATCTCGATGCGTGATCGGAAATCATTCGATGCGTGAATCGAATGATGCCACTACGAATCATTCGATATCGCCCGCATCGAAAGTCATTCGTATTCACGCATCGAATGATGCCATCAAATGATTCAGATGCGTGAATCGGGGGGGGGAATGATTCGATGCGTTGACATCAAATAGTAGTGCGATAAATGAATGTTATATGTGAATAAAATCGAATGATTATATGCTTGATAAATCGGAATGGTTATATGCGTAAATGCGAACCATAAAAACAAAAATCGGGAATATATGACACAAACCAACATGCATAAAATCTGACGATAACAGACTCAAAAGAGTTTTTAAACACCTTTATTGAAGTTTTTGAATGGCCCATATTGCTTAATTGAGAACACCAGGTAAAACCAGGAGTGTTATGTACATATTATCGAAGGAAATTGCATGTTTTAAATAGGCTAATGGATACAGAATGCAAAGGACTGCGAATCTTCTTCTGTGATTATAGTGTTATTAAATCAAGTGTGCCTTTGGAGTGGTGAGGGTATTTACATGTTTATATTCACATCACGTGGCCCAAACGATGTTGTTCATTGTTAATGCACCCAAGACTGGTATTAATTATATAACAGGCCAACACGTTGATGTCTAAATCGTTTGACGTCGCCAAGAATTCTGTCAGTTCACCGAGCTGAACAGTTTGGGTGGCAATACACACTTGTGCGACAATTATTGTGGGTAATAGAAGTGTTGTCTTGCTCGACCCCAGAGTCATATGAAATTCGACATCGCTAGCTTATCACACTGATGATAGAATACAGCTCCACTACCAAAGAAATTCATTAGTCGTTTATTTCCCTGATATGAGACACTAGCCGCGGGGGTCAGGATAGATACTCAGTCCCATACTGAACTAAGCTAACAAATGACGATTTGGACGTCTGGGGGACTAAGATTGTTATGTGACTAACATGTTTAGAAATAGGTAAATTTCCGAAATTCAATTTCTAATGAATTACACAAGTTTTTCACTGCCGTTGAAGGCAATAGAATAACTGTGCTGCATCGAATGTCTGTCAATTGTGGTACCTAATGAGGTGGTAGATAAAAAGTAAATATGGGTGATAATATATGTAAAAGGTGTAATAATGGCATTTATAAACTGCTATGATGACAGCATCTTCCAATGTCAACAGTAAAGAGGAAGAAGTTAAAGTGTGATACTTATTATAATATTGAAAGTAAAATGTGAAACAATCCGCAAATTCGCTTTTGAAATTGATACTATTATAGTGCAAGGTGAGTGACCAGCTGCAGTGTGGTGCACGTCACCAACCAATGGAGCATTGTCGTGAATTCGCGTTACTGCAATTAGTAATTAAAGCCGTGTGTATATATATATATATATCACTTCATAATATTGTATGGTATATGCTATGTGGTCATCTTGATATGTATGTGTATATATGATATTATGTGCACGATTTTACGTCTAGTTGTGACGCACGATAATGGAAGGTTCGACCACTGAGATTGTAGTGATTATGGAGTCAACACAAGAAATCAGAACCTGCTGGTAAAAATCAGAACAAGCTGATAAAAGTGCGGTTTACGCCGGAATAGGCGCCCCGGGGACTTATTATTTGGCCTTACGTCAACCAGGGACTAGCTCGTGAACTAAAAGATGCGTGCCAAAATCCCACA